GGGGGGGGGGGGGTTTGTCGGAAATTTGAAAGTTTTGTATGAAATTTAGAAGGCTTCGCCCCCCCACCCACCGGAAAAAGTGAATTTCCGCCACTGTTCACAGCTAGAGTGTTCGAAGAAACGAAGTATTTGTGTTGAAATATATTGATAGAATAATTTTGCCTAGCCAAAAACTGCTCACTTCTGCGAAATGGCAGTTCTCTGAGAAGAATATATATATATATATATATGTGTATATATATTACTGCAGTTTTAATTAAACCCGCGTTCTCCACTATAGGCGAATTTGTTCGCGCGAACAGTAAAAAAGTAGGAATTGATCCAACTTTTTCGCGGCAAATTTTTTCGCTGACCAATCACATTGCCGAGATTTGTTTTTCGCTTCACATCGCGCGAAAAAATTCGCCTAGTGGAGAACGGGCTTTATGCACGACGTAGTCAACGGCAAATCGCCGGTTCAATATTACTTAATCAGGAATATCACTGAATATCGCTGCAGCTCGTAAAAGTTTGTATCAACCTCGCACTAGGCTTATAAATGTAATGGCAAAATCATGGATAAAAATCTGTTACATGTAAACTACGTCAAGCATTTCTCCTTTGAATTCGTAAAGGCCTGATTCCACGAGCCCTTTTTCTCGGCGAAATGCAAAATATATCGCCTGTTTCTTTTGAAATTGCGACCACTCGAATAAATTATTTCTACTTGATTGCTCACAATTCAAAAGAAACAGGCGAAATATTTCGCATTTCGCTGATAAAAAGCGCTCGTGGAATCAATGCTTAAGACCTAAGCTGATTGCAACTTTCTCTCATCATTGCAGTGCCTTTTTTAACTATATATCTGGGGGGTAAAGCCATTTCTGCCCCCGAAGTGCGAAGCAGAATTGCTCATGATTGCTGTCAGAATTGCAGTTGATTTACTTGATAATGAGCTAGATTATGCCCTTCCATAGTCTCCTCCACAGCCATCTTGTGTGTAATTCATATTGTTCTTCACCGAGTATTTCATAATAGCGATAGATTTCATGCAAACAATCCGATAAAATGCTGGTTCCAAGAAGAATAGATTTAGTTTAGATTTTTAACTGTTAAATACATGTATGCATCATCATAGCATGAATATTTCTTCTCAGATTTATTCTGTATCGTATGAAAAAGCAACGCAATTTTGAGAATGCGGAAATGGTGTCTCATAGAACCTAAAATGATTTAAATGCAACATTTCTGATCAAAATCATATTGGGATCCCCCCCCCACAGCATCACAGAAAGGAAATAAGGTGACACTGACCCCTCCTCCTATTTTTCAAGGTGACTTTTCCAATTTATTTAATTCCGAGTAGAAATGTCTGGAAAAATTCATGTCTTCGATGTACCTTATAATCTTCGAACTCTTCGGAATTTCACTCCCAAAATGCTTGAAATCGCAATTCAGGGACTCTAGATTTCAAAATTTTTCCCGGGGGTGCATGCCCCCGGACCCTCCTAGACGGTCTCACGCCTTCGGCGTGAGGTTCGCCTTCTCCCCCCCTCAAAAAAATTGAGGTCTGACTACGCCACTGGTTATAGCTGTACGATTATAGCTACAAAGAGTTGAAGTTATTGTTTATTTAGGTGAAGTTAATAAATTAAAGTTTTACAAAATCTCTCTTCAGACTTTTTTTCCTGTTTTGCCCCCCCCCCCCAGTGAAAATTTCTTAAAAAAGGCACTGCATCATTGCCTTTGCAAGTTTGAAAAATTCCCTTGCAAATCCCTTGAGGGAATTTGCAATGTTCATAAAAGCCAATTCAATTTCCCTGAGTTCCTATTAGAAGTTCTTATTGCATTGTAATTGGCTAACAAAAAATAATCCACCAAATACAGCGTTCAGAACAGGACGGATGTCAGGAAATATTAAAACAGGAAGTTAGGAAAATTTAAAAGGACGTTCCTCTGTATTGGAAATTGGAATACTGCAACAGCCGATACTCGATAGGTACATTCCAAATTCCCTCGAAGGATTTGTATGGGAGTTTTTCAAATTTGCAAAGATAATGAGGAACATTGCAATAAAGTCAGGAACTTATGCAGACAGTCCCAACTGTTTAACCCCCGGCCCCACCTTGCCTTAAATAGTTTTGCTAAGTGCCGATGGGCTATTTAATTAATATTTTTGTATTTAATTTCAATAATAAATTGTTTTTAATTTCAACAATAAAATTTGATTAATTGATCAAAGAATGCACATGCATTAGGAGCCATTTATAAACGAGAGATCCAACAGCAACCTCGTTCCCAGGGTCTTTCCTCTTGGCCAGGGAAGAAAAGACCCTGGTACACGAGTAAAAACGCACAACTTGTAACAAGTCTGCAAACAAGTGTTACAATTAAGTCTGTTCACAAGCTGTCAACCGGTTGTGTTCGCACTGCTTGTTCCCAGTTTGTTGTAACAAGTTTGAAACAAGCTGTTAACAACTTGTAACAAGCTTGATGGCATTATCAGCCTAGCTTGTTACAAGATTGTGCTAACAAGTTTGTTACAGCCATGATATTACAAGGATGTTACGAGGTTGTCAACACAAGATTGTAACAATCTTGTTATATCAAGCATCTAACGGACTTGTCAGAACAACCTTGCAACAAGTCTGATAATTTCGACAAAGTTGTTACAAGTTGTCAACACGTTGTTCCAAACTTGTTGACAACTTGTGACAGGCAGTGCGAATACATCTTGTTGACGGCTCGCTGGCAGACTTGTTACAAGATGTGAGATTTTTGCGTGTGTAGACGCTGGCCACGTGATCTGCTAAAATCTAGCAGATTTTTAGTTATATGCCATTTAAGGGGGG